AAAGAAGAGAAGGATTTTACTTTCCGTGTAATTATCCCCAAGGGAGTCACGATCGCCAACCAATTTAATTCGTTATCTTCCATCTTCCTTTCGAGTATAATTGAATAAATAAATAATTGACACGAGTGAGATATATCGTTAATGCCACGTTGAAAATAGAAAGAAAGGGGAGAAAATAAGAGAGAGAGAGAGAGATTCGGCATTGAAAACGACAGGGCTCGCGGTGAAACTCAGTGATGCGAAATGGAGGGGGGAGGAAGGAATCATCGCCGGAATTATTCCCATTCAAAACCTTCTGGTCCGAATAACTGTACGCCCCCTCTTGCCGTGAAATAGCCTCGCCCGTTTCAAATTACTTGCCCTATTTTCCTTTGTCTTGTCTCACGTTTCGCGGCCTTTCCTCGCACGTACCCCCCCGTACCCGCCTCCTCTATATACAGAGCCTTAATTTAGTAACCAGCCAACTCTCCAACGCCACTCTGACTCCCCGAAATTACCCTTGTAAAATTAACCGCGACCGTTTTCGATATTAATTTCAAGATCCAAAGACCACCCCCGTGCCTTCCCCCCGCGATGCCCAAAAACCATTCCCTCCTTATCGAATCTCGTTCTTCGACTTCCATTCGCGACCCATCATCGAAGACGGTTTTCCACCCCCTCCTCAAAATTCCATACGTATATATCGAGGTTTTTTCCTTCTTCTCGAAAAAATTCGAAACTCGAAACTTCGGTGTTGATTACGATTCAAGCCGGGGAACCGGTGATATTTTACCCCCCTTCTCGAGGCTTTACGATCGGACGTTTTTAATTTCCCCCGTTGGCGAGGCGAGGGAGGGGAGGCGTGCGGATGCAAATTGTGACAGGAAAGTTATTATGCGCACCGTGAAATTAACGAGTTTCCCGGGATCGGATGGAGGAAGGGGGTTCCTTAATAGAGCAGTTTATGCACTCTCGTACGCGTGCACGAGAGTTCGTTAAGGGAAATTGGAGGAGGGGGGAAGGAGGTTCGATTTCCACGCGGTTGGAGAAAATTGAGAATCACGGCGGCGAATGTTTGCGAATGTTGGTTCGCTTTCAGATAGAGCTATGAAGACGGTCGTGTCCGTGGCGTATCCGCTGGATGGTCGTCATCGAACGTCGATACTGATTTGCTTCATCTTTATCATCGCGTTACCGATCCTGGCCTCGAGCCACGATCAGAAGAATGGGCACGGGAGTGCGTACACGAGCAAATCGGAGGACAAGATGGAATTCTCGAAGAACTCCAAGGATTCGAAAATTTCCTTGCTCGACGACGAGAGCGACGATTCCGGGGTAAGTGGATTATTATTCCAAAATCAATCCTGTTTCAATATTTCTTTTTTTTCAACTTCATAAACTTCGTGGAACGAAATTTTTAAATTATTATTAAATCATCGGGAAAAAATATTTGCAGCAAAATATTTGTTGTTCGGTTCCTGATTCCATTCCCTCTACGCGCATAAACTTCCATACAATAAAACCAAAAAATTTTCCATCGATCGACCAATAAAACTGACTGATTGACTAACCGTCGATCAACAAATATCTCGAACGATAAACCTGATAAATTCTCATCGCGATGGAGAACGATAGATTCTTAAAGAAGCGCGAATAAAGCGGGATAAACGGAGGAATAAGCTTCTCTCCCGAGAGAGAAGACGGAGCAAGAGGCCGGCGGTTGATGCGGCAAACTACGACAGACGTTTCCTCTCGGACGCGTTTTAATATCTCAAGCATTAATTTCTTTTTGCGGAAAACATACTCGGCCGTCTCTCTTCGCATCTTTCCTCTCTCTCTCTCTCTTCCCCTCTTCCTCTGCCTCTCCCTCCTGGCCGATTCGTCCTTACGCCGGATGACAAAATGACAAAGGGGTGGTCGCCCCGGGCCACCGATATTACCGTTTCCGTTTCGGAACTATGCGAACTGTCTACACTTCCCTTCCAGCCTGCGCGTATCCCGAAAACGTCTCGTGATTGATTATGCTCGCCGTACTTTTGGCTCCTACCAAAAACGCGATTGATGGGGAGAGGGTGGGAGGAGAGGGACCGATGATATACCTCGTTAAACCTCTCGTCTCTCTCTCTCTCTCTCTCTCCATCGATCGAGGATTTTTCTCTTTCGAGGAAAGAGATAATCGGCGGAATCTCTCTTCGCTCTGGATCTCTGACTCTTCTTCTGGTGGACGAAGAATTCGTTTCGGAGAAACGAACGTGGACGAACGATTGGGGAACGATAACTACTGGTAATCCTGGGATGGGAATTTGCATAAACGTTCAACAAGTGACGACGATGACGGGGAAATATCTTGTTCCGTTTAAAGGTCTCGAGAGGAGAACGAGAGCAACGAGGATAACGTTGGGGGAGGGGGAGGGAGATTGCCAGGAACAAGAGAGGGATTGCAACCTCGAAAAATCTGTGTTACGTGTTTCGTGGCGAACAATCGTGGCCAGAAGACGAGAAAAAAAAAGATAGTGAGAGAAAAAGAGAGAGAGAGAGAGAGAGGCGAGAGAGCAAAAGTATATTAAAACGGGGCTTAATTAAGGTCCAGGGAAAACAGGGACAGGGATAAGGAGAAAAAGGGGAGAGGCGAGGACGAGAGACGAGCATAGGCGAGGAGAGACGGAAAAAGGGAGGGAAAAGGGAGGAGGAGGAGGTTGAGGACAGCAGCCGCAGATGCGAGGAGGTAGTAACCCCCTGCGGGGTTTACTGGAACGAAGATGGCGAGTGTTTATTTAGTTAAATGCCGCGCGTAATTGGGTGTAAGACTTTTTTCTTCTTTTCTCTCTCTCTCCCTCCTTTTTCTCTTTTTTCGTTCGGAGGCGTATACACGAATATGGAATAGGAAAAGGGCCGAGGCTTGCTCCTCTAGGCGCAAGGGTGGCAAACCTTCCCTCCCTCCCTCTCCTGCCGTTTCCACGGCCGAGCTTTCCACCCCTTTTTCCGCGTGCTGGCAGCCACCTGATGGCTGGCTGGCTGGCTGGCTGGCACAAGGACCCGCCGGGAATGAGATGCAGATTGCCAGAGGCCACTTCACCCGCTAGAGGGAGTGAATTTTTAATAACACCGTGCCCGTATCCGCGGCCCCGCGCGATTCTCCGCGTAGAGAATCCCATTGTCTTGGTCGCGTCTCGTACGCGGTGGAAAAGAGGGGGAAGAGGGGAGAGAGGGAGAGGCCCGGGCAGGAGGAAGACGATGCGTAACTCGCACTCGCGCGATCTATTATCGCAGAGGAGAGGAGAATTGTCGACACCGCGGGAACGCGAGTAAAGCGTGCAAGTTTACGCGAGGAAGGATTTTTATTAATTAATTAAAACGGACGATGCTTTCGATGAACAGGGTGAGAAGGATCGCAAAACGTCCTCCAAGGACGCGGAGGAGAACAGTCCGGCGCTGGCCAAGTTCCTGGACGACGTTCTCAAGGCGCAGGACGATTTAAAGTGGATAGATCAAACCGTGCGTAACGTTAATCGCGAGAAGAATTTGGAGAAGTGAGTTAATTGGTAAAAAAAAACAAAAAAAAAAATAAATAAATAAATAAAAAGAAAAAAAAAAAAGAA